TCCCGTCTCTGCATCCTCTCGCTGCTGACTCCTTTGCTTGGTTGCTTGGCTGTCTCTCCCCGTCTTGCTCGTGGGGGGACGCCATGACCAGACCAACAGTCTATTCTTTGTGTTAACACAGTGAGTGTGACTTTCTGACTTGTATTTTGGGGACAGAGCAGAGGGGGCTGGTGTGCTGCTGGCCGGGACGCCGGGTGGGAGGGAGCAGGACCCCGTCCCCTCTCCAGTTTCTCCCTGTTCCTCTACTGTCCTCTGCCCCAGGCAAGGGAGGTGCTCTCGCTCTGGATTTGAGGCTTTTGATGGGAATATTTGTCTCCTCACTGGAGCGGCTTCTGGGGAGTTGGCAGCAGGGGACTTGGTGCCCAAGCCTACTCAGTTTCTGAGTCCGGGTAGCCCGGCAGGTCCACGGTAGCCAGTCCGGCTCCACAGCGACACCGTGGCATGCTGAAGGGCTACACAGTGTTCAGCCTTGTGGCTGTCACCTGATGTATGCATCCAGCCCTTGCTCAGAAACTTAATTGGTTCTGATTTTCAAGTATGTTATAAACCTGAATGAAGCTCTGTATACTTAAATATTTCAGGGCACTCAACAATCCTCTAAAACCTTCCGTTTGAAATGTCTGATGCCTGCCTCATCCCAGATGCACACCTGGTGTCAGGGATTCCTGGGTGGGTGTGTAGGGGGCAGCCTCCCTCTCCCTGGCCTCCCAGGGCCGTGGGGAATGCAGACAGCAGTCTGGAAACGGCAGGTCCAGGTGGAGCAAAGATCAGGACAGCGAGAGAGGCTGGGACCCTGGAAGGACACCTGCAAACACACCTGGCTTTCTTGTACCTGACTGTGCCTCGCAGATGTTACGTTTTTCACAAATTGAAGTTTTGTGGCCAGCCCTACATGAGCAGATCTCTCAGCGCCATGTTTCCAATAGCATTTGTTCACTTTGTGTCTCTGTGTTACATTTTGGTAATTCTCTCGATATTTCACCCTTTTCCATGTTGTATCTGATACTGTGGTCTGTCACCAGTGTTGTTTGACGTGACTGTTGCAAAGAGATTACCGACTTGTGAAGGCTCAGATGATGGTTAGCTTTTTTTCTTTTTTAGCTGTAAAGTCTTTTTAAAATTAAGATAGGTGCCTTGTGTATTTAGACATACGCTGTTGCACACTTAATAGACTGTAGTGTAAACATAACTTTTATAGGCCCTGGAAAAGTGAAAACTGGTGTGACTGGCTTTGTGGTGACGCTGGCTTTATTGCAGTGCTCTGGAACCAAGCCCACAACATCTCTGGGGTGTGCCTGCGATAAGGAATTGCTGCCTGAAGTGGATGTGCGTTTATAAGGCCACTGATATGTTTATTGCCAGATTGCCTTCCATCAAGGCTGCCCAGCCCCCGGCCACGTAGCTGTCCTGAGCAGCTGTAATTCCTAGACTGTTCTTTCTGTTGAACCAAGACGTGCTTCCTCGAGTTTCCACCTGACCGGGCACTCGCCTTGGACCTGACCCTGGGCGGGTCTGCGGATGCTTCGCTCTCTTTCTTGGGTCATCTTGCCCATAGAAGGGTCCTGAGTAAGCAGTTGTGTTGCTTTTCCTGGGTCAGGGAAGAGAGAACAGGGAGGGTTTTTGTGTCTTGGGCGTGTGGTATCGATCGAGGTACTTAAGCCTCTTCTGGGAGTTACTTGGGCATCTCGCACTGTGATATTGACTCACCGTGTTTAATATTTTATCGTGTCCTGAGCACTGAGGAAGGCTCCCTGCCCAGGGTCTCAGATAAAAGCACAAACAAGAGCCATAGGAAGGGCCTGGGCGGCAGCAGGCCATGGCAGGGACAGGAAGGGTGGCCTGAAGGAGTGATTTATATCTCACGCGGCAGCCTGGGGGCACGGAGGAGAGCTTTGGAGGAGAACTTCTGTTTCTTTTTAGCAGAGGTGGGAGAGCTGGGTGGAAGGTCACTTCCTGGGTGACAGTCATCATTATTATCGCAGAAGGCTGCG